AAAATGAAAACTGGCAGTACACATAACCTATTGTCCATAATACCATTAAAGAACTTTACTTGTCAAATACATAAGTTTTCCGACAAAAGTTTGCAAAGTATATGTTTGCATAGTGACTACAACTGGCAGTACACATAACCACTAAAATTTAAGGGATGAAATGGCAATCTGTTCTAATTTCAACATGCCATTACATTGACACATTCAAAAGGGCCATTTTTAGCCATGAACAAAATAAGACATTACAAAACAAAAGGGGTTTCATCCCTATACAAAGGCCAGTTTAGCAGTTCACTTCTACAGTCACTTCTCCAATCTACCAGTTCCCATGTTACAGTACTTGTTCACTTCGTAGTCCAGGCTACAAAAAAACAAATTATCATGTATAATGTACTCTGTATATATCAAACAATTTCACGTAAGTAAATTAAGTACAAACATACATCTACAATAGTTTCTCCTGTTTCAGGTTCAATGTAAATGCCAAAACCCTTATGGCTTCTTCTTTTCTTTTGAGGTCTATCACATCCTTCTTTTCCTTGTGTTTTAACTCTTCTTTTTGAAGGCTTACATACTACCTCTGTCGTTGTGGGTTGTGGGTCTGTGGTTTTTTTTGGGCACATTGCTTTATTATGCCCTGCTTCCTTGCATTTAGAACACTTCATAACTCTTCCTTTGCGAGAAACTGTTGTCCTACCCTTGGAAGATGATGAAACTTCACTCGCTTCACAGGTTCTTTTCTTCTTAGGTGTGCCAATTAGTTTTTTGGGAATTGGGGAGGGGGGGGGTGCAATGTCATTATTTTGTGTCTTTTGCCATAACAACTCCCCATTCATTGGTTCCAAATGATGGGAGTAAATGCGGTCATACACCTCCTTGGAGTAGTAATCATCAACATAATCATCAGGCTCATCACCCTTGTCAAATATAGCACAAACTGCATGCGGGCAAGGAATTCCACTTAAATCCCATGCTCTACAAGAGCAAGATTTACGTTGAAGTCGCACTTGAAACTGATGCCTCCCTTTCTTTACCTCGTCCCCATCGTCCCCATTAAATATTACCTGTTATGCATGAGTAAATTATGGGTTAACATATCTTAATAAAATAAGTATTACTAAAGCAGGTATGCATACGAACCTTCCAGCCCATACTGTGAAGTATGTTAGCATTCAACTTCTTAATAATACGCGGGCCATGTTTCCCAGCCCACTTGGAAGAAAACTTAACCTTCTTCGCAATGCGCTTCATTGTGGCAACTCTAATCGCTTCAAGCATAGGGATAATGGGTTTAGACCTTGCCTTAACAATTGTGTTATTAAAGCACTCTGACAAATTGTTGTCCAGTATATCACATTTCACATCAACTCTGAAAAAAACCTTGCACCATTGTGAAGTTGGATACAATTCCAAATCTGCCTTAGCTGACCTATCAATCTTCTCTAATGCTTTCATTTCGTCTTGAAAATGGCCTTCCGTGCTGCACCTAGCACAAATCCAGAAATGTTTTTTTAGAACTTTCCCCCTGTGTTTTTTGCTCCAATTGGCATGTATATGCATACAACAATTTTGGTGTTCAACATTAGGGAATAGCTCCTTGATGACATTGACTAAGCCCTGTAAATATAAATGAGTAATGAATCAACCATTAGTAAGCCCTGTATACATGACATTACCATGTATATGCCTGCAGTAATTGACTAAGCTCCTATGGGGGCAAAGAAATTGAAAATCTCCCTCATATACATGAAGTATATAGCATTGGCATTGGCGTGTACATGATATTCTGTAAACCATCAAGTACGAGCATATACACTTTGTTGAGTACTTATTTCAGCCTTGTAGAAGACATTTTATTGAAGCTCTTTTCCTGCTTATTGTTTCTTTCTATTTGACAGAAGTGTTCTATTTTCTTATCTATTTGACATAACTTACTTGAGAACTCCTCTACATTAAAGATTTAAAAGGCCGCTGACTTTAAGAACTTATTGAGTATTATATCTAAGATTCTAACATCAAAGGATCAGCATCCCTTCATGAAAGGCAAAATTACTCTTATTAAAATCATTTCAGATATACATAGTAAGATCAAATAAAGTATAAGTCTTATATACTGAAGTTTAACTTTATATACCTTCTGTTGATCTGTCATCAAGGTCCAATGAAAGCTATTATTGATCTCAAGGTCCTCTTTGAGTAGATTTAGAAACCATCTCCACGTTTCTGTGTTCTCTATCTCTAAAATGGCCCATGCAATTGGATACATTTCATTATTTGCATCCCTACCAACTGCACTTAAAATTTCACCCTTAAGCATTCCTTTCAGAAAACACCCATCCAGCCCAAGAACTTTGCGACAACCACTTAAAAATCCTCTTTTCAATGCCCCAAAGCACACATACATCCTCTGGAATACTTCAGGTCCATCTTCAGTCAACCTGTGTGTTTTCACTATAGCTGTGCTCCCTGGATTAGATCTAATGCATTCTGCCGCATAGTCTCTTAGCCTACGAAATTGATCACCAAAAGACTCATTCACTTTTTTTAGAACCTTTGCAATGACTCTTTTCACCTTAGAAATGTTGACATGAATATTAAGCTCACTACGTATCTCTTTATGTACTTCCACTTTTCCAATGCTCAGGTTATCCCTGATTTTATTTTCAAACTTATCCTCTAGCCATTTCTGACTGACTAGCTTCAACTTGAACTTTTCATTGCATTTGTGGGTCTCATCCCAAGTCTTCATCTGAAAACACTTGTACTGTTCAGCCCATGATGCAGTGCACTTAAAGGGACACTTTTTATTTTCACACTTTGCTTGAAGTCTTGTTGGCTCATTCTTCACCCACCTAATATCTCTCTTGTTATGCACTGCATAATTAATCAGGGCTGTTTTGAATTGTATGCCATCTTCAAACAACATATCCACTTCTAAGTCTTTTGATTCTGAAACTGGATTGTATGAAGGAATTTTATGTGTAATCTGCACCTTAGACTGGACCTCTGAAATTTCGACCTCCTATTTTTCAGATTCTGAGTAATAGCTGGGAGGTTCATTTGAGTCATAATATTGACTAGATACTTCCTCACCTCCCTCATGTGAAACCGACTCATCGGTGGTTGTCTTGTTCTTGTTCTTTACCCAGGCCATTCGCTTCTCTCTTAGCTTTGCATCATTAACATAATTTCCATCATCCTGCTCCTCCGCTGAAATTTGATCATCGCCAAAATGTAAAAGCTCTTGTTGTTCTGTTTCTTCTTCAAATTGTGGCATTTCATTGTGCACTTCATTCTCTGTTTCTGTAGGAAGTGTTGTATTTGTTTTCATTCCAACTCTTATGTCAGCAACATGCTCTCCTTCACCCCTCTCTTCTGTCTCTACAACTATCTCAGCATTTATAGTTGAAGGCAAAGCAAAGGAAGAAAGTAGTTCAGGCTCATCAATACCATGCTCCACATAAATGTCAACTACTCCCCATTCGGTTACCATCTCAATAAGCTGAAGAGTAGTTGCATCATTCCATAATGGCTTTAACTGTTCCATCTTCTCCCCAGGTAGTTTAAATGATAAGGACTCCACCTTCTTGTATGCATCCTTGGTGTCTTGGTGATAAAATTTAACAGGTGCGGATAAGAGATTTTATCAGGATCGAGAGTAATGGTGTGCACCTCACCATTTACGTATGCCAGTTCAGCTTGTTTAACAAAATCCCCCCGTGGTGTATTCTCCACTCTACTTCCAAAAACATTCTACAATGTAAACAGATTAATCAAATATGTCAGATTGAGCAAATGATATTTTGAATGACACTAATATAAGGAGATTAATAAAATATCTTTTATTATTTGGGAAAATACAAATATATACCAATAGTGTCATTGTGACAATAATCCAGAGATGTAAAAGTGAAAAACTCCCATAACTTTTTATGAACCATAACCAAAATAAGATAGAACCAGCAACCAGCCCAATCACCAAGAACAGCACTAGAAAACACACTAGAACAAGCAACCAGCCCAATCCCATAACAGTTTTGGGAGGCAGTATGAACAACACACTGGTTACGTATCCATTTGTAAGTCCCAAAAGTCATGTTAATACCATGAATGGACTCCAACTCAGACCTAAAAAACACAGGTCCACGCAAGCAACCATAGAAAAGAGGCATAAACAACAACATAGCAAAGCAGGCATCTCCGACTTTGGAAGACAAAACAATTTGGTAATTACTATGGTACAGGTCCTAACTTCACATTCTACATATAGATTTGGAAACCCATAAAACTACAAATTAACAAGACCAATTAAGCAATTAATTTCCCCACAATAGAAAATAACAACATGACTCCGAAGTGTACACACGAAAGTGATATCACAGATATGAGTTCACATATATTAATTCGCCGATAATAGTTCGGAAAGAAATTAATTTTCCCACACTCTAGATTAATTTGTCATATACTAACGAAACACAATAGCAACATCACGATAAAACCATACACAGAAAAGTATACTTACTTCGAAGCACTGTGAGTTCAGAGATATTAGTTCGCAGATGGCGATGGAGGCGACCAAAGTGGAATCCCTGCAATTTTCTTGTCAGCCATTGATGCGTTCAAGCGCGATTGAAAAATCAAACCCTAATTGCGAACAACCACTTGAACAACTGAAGCACGATTCACCTCTCTTTCTGGACTACCCGACTTGAACAACCACGTTGGAAAAAAATTTGCCATGTTGTCATTGCAATAGCCAGACCTGAAAGAATAGCTCAAAGAACAGGACACGTAAGCAAACAACCGGGCTTTGCAATTGCTTAGCCGGTCATTTGACGTATCTGACTTTTTTTACTAAGTAAATGTACCGGTATGACCGTTTTTAAAGTAGATGGATTTATATGACCTTTTGATAATAGTACAAGGACTTATTTGATCCTTTTTCCAATTTAATATTCTTATACAAATTCCAATTGCAAATCAGCAAAAATCATTTGATTCCAATTGGGAGTTCCTGCCAGAACCCAAAACGTCACACACGACACATCTCTTTGAAGCTTTGTTGCAAAAGGTACCCCAGACGATTCTCGCCGTCCCTGTCTACAGACCGATTCAGCGCGCTAAAGGCGGCGACTGAAGGCCGTATATGTGCTTCACAAGCTGTAACTGCTCTTCGAAAACCCTAAATCAGGTCTGTAATATATCCGGATATTGCTTCATGCGACATGTTGTGTTGTTTTAATGATGAAGATCTACCGTGATCTCTTACTGCAGAAGAAACATATACTTGGCTCTAGTAATCATCATGTACATAAAACAGGTAATTAAGAAGCTACAGTGTGTAGGTTCCACTTGTGTATGCACGTACATATTTCAGTAGCATCCAAATATTATGCAGTGTCTGGGTATCTATGCTGTGGACGTATTTATGCACACAATCGCATGCTTCTCTGAAGTTTTCATGATTGCGCGCTTGACTGAAGCTTTCATTTTGGGGGGATGCTTTTGGTGCAGATTATTATTGAAGGGTTCAAGAGCTACAGGGAACAGATAGCTACTGAACCATTCAGTGCAAAAGTTAACTGCGTTGGTAAGTATGCTTCATATAACTTCTACTGTCCATAACATCACAAGTACTATTTATTTTCAAAATTCTTGTGAACCAGCTCAACAGAGGTACATTATGCTGCTCAAATTTCAGCACTCTTGTTTATGGCTGGCATTTTTAACTGAACAACCAAACCGAACCGTCTTGTATGGGACCTGAAAGTTGGTCCCCAAATTGTAAATCGGTTTAGTAACGGTCCTTAAAGGCCCAAACATCGATTCGAACCGAACCGAACAGGTAAATCATCAAATAATAATGAATTAATGAACTTGTAAGCGTGCACCTTGTGCGCTTTTTGTGCGCTTTTGCTGCACCGTACTAAGGTCTTAAAGCGCCCACCCTTAGTAGCGCCTCCCTTGTGCGTCTTAAGGCTCAGACGCTCACTTTTGGCTACCTTGGTAGATTAGTAGTAGTAATGACAATGATTATGATAATATAATAATAATATTATAGTAGTAGTGCCAATTAACCGTCGATGTTTAGTTTAATTATATTGAATAATAAAATTATGCAATATCTTATTTTATAAACCAGCGTTTTAGGCCAATCAATATGTGATACCAATCCACTTACTAGAGTTTGGTTTTGTGTTCAATCCCCATACGATGTTTATCCATTTACTTTTATTGTTATCCTTTTTACTATTTGTTATCCTTTCTACTTCAACTCTTAATGTATATGAGTGCTTGCCTAGTTTCCTTGCCAATGAAGAATTGTAGTTGTTATTGAGTTGCTCTCAAGGCCATTTGGTTTTGCATGAGTCATGTTTGTCCCATTCCTTTTTTTGCATTTACCTTGCTCAGCTCTAAGTCTAATCAGGGGCTTGAAAGCTTATGTCTGCATACAATAAGCTCTTTTACATCTTGGACACACCACTCTGTCTTGTGAGGCCAAGATTAATATGATGAAATCTATCCAAGTCAAAGTCTTCTAGAGTTGGCTACATGGTTGTATGTGTTCATTCAATTTATCTTTTTGCTGCGAGTATTTGTCCTAAACATAGATTTCTGTATAAGTGATGAATCAATGATGTAGGTCACGGAATGGTTAGCTATTGGTTTCACTGTCTTAGCAAAAAGGTCATATCAATCATATGTTCTATTTGCTTTGATGATAAATGAACCCTCTTCAATGTTTTGGCAATTGCATCCATCAGCATAACTCATAGTACTTGCTAGTTGCTAGTTTTTTCTGAGGGCTTTTTTATATTACTAAATATCTAGTAGGTTACTTTTGTGCATACGTTTTCATGGATAATTCATTTTTTCAACAAGTTACTTATTTGATTGCCTCTCATCTTCCATTTCATGCAGTTGGTGCTAATGGATCTGGCAAATCTAACTTTTTCCAGGGTGGGTAATATTGACATTGTTTTGCCTGACATTTATTTGTCTAATTGCTCTGTCTAATTGCTGAAAGCTGTCTTTGTTGAATCTTTTTTTCTTATTTATTGTGTACTTTTCTTTTTCTTGGTTAACACTTTCTCTCAGCAATGCGTTTTGTCATAAGTGACCTCTTCCATAACCTGCGCAGTGAAGAAAGGCACGCCTTACTTCATGTATGCTTTTGGGAGTTTAATTTATTGACTCATCTCCATTGTCATCATGACATACATGTAAGTGATCATTGGGTTTGCACTTTTTACTATTCAGGAAGGTGCAGGACACCAAGTATTATCTGCTTTTGTGGAGATCGTGTTTGACAATTCAGACAATCGACTCCCGGTATTTTCTTGATAATTTATCTCAATTCACTTCAAATTGAAACGTTATATTCCATTTAAAGACTGTGCTTTTTGATGTATGAAGCATATTTCAGTCTAGTTAGGAGTGTCACAGTTATTACGACGTCACCTAGGCATTGAATAGGCATCTTGGTGATTAAGGAGCTCATCATGCTTTGTCAAAGTCTCTTAGCTGTCCCACAGTGTCGATTCAACTTAATTTATTTTCCTCTTCAGTAACACAGAGAGTATTTTCCCAAGTTCAGACTTGATTTGTAATACTACTACCGTTCTTGTAAAGCCACGACATTTGGATTTTTCTTGCTATTAAAGGGGAAACATACCTTTTTTTTTAAAGGAATAAACTCAATTATTATTAATAAGATGAATGTTTAAAACATTAGCAATAAATTCAGGAGGATTGAACAACCAATAATAACAATCAGACATAGAAGTTGGAACACGCAACATTAGCCAATGAGTGGGCACCCTGTTCGTTGATAGTCTAATATGAAAGGACATACTCATAAAAAATGAAGCCAATTCTCTAATTCTGCCACCACCAAACCTGCTGTCAAAGCACTGCCCCCCTTATGACTTCAGAAATAGCCTGGGAAGTATCAGACTCCACATCAATCAAATTCCACCTTTGTTGGCGTACCCAACTGAGAGCCTCCCTGATACAACTAGCTCAGCCTCCCAAGGAGATAACTTCCCCGGCCATGGCATAGCTACCCCCGCTACAAAGTCACCCTTTTCATCTCTTAAGCCCCACCCCAAGCCACAAATATTTTCTTTAACCGATGCATCGATGTTGAGTTTCAGCTTTCCCCAATCTGGTCATCTCCACACCAAAGAGGGCCTCTGCACCAAGCTCCCAGAATGGTTGGTTTCCTTCTGCACTTGCTCCCACCCAATTACTAAAGCTTCAGCTTGTTGCATAATCTGCTCCCCTTGCATCCGAACACCCTGCCAAACTTGCTTATTTTCGTACGCATCAGAGACCCCAACATCCCCAAATCAACTTTCTGAAATCTTCTCTCTGCCTCGATTGAAATTCCTTCTGCAATTGAACAAGAAAGCTGCTTTCATCTTGATTCACCCAGCCTTTCGACGCCCAAGCCTTCTTAGCAACAAGACAGTGAACAGAGAGATGCAGCAAAGTCTCCTCGTCGTTGCCGCTAAGACCGCAAGCCGTGAATCACTCAACTCTCCTACTCCTTAGATTGATTGCTGTCGGCAAGCACCTGCTACTCACCTGACAAAAATTGTTTTAATTTTAGGTGGTAAGCTCCACTTCCACATCTCCCGTCCAACCGTTCCACTCCCTGCCAGCAAATTCTCCTATGAATTTTCGGTAGCAACTTCGAAAGGAGAAACAGCCTTCAGGCTCCCACCGCCAGCATAACCTGTCCGAAACCATACTCAAACTTAGGGGAATACTTCGAATAAGAAAAACATCACTGGAATTTAAAATATCCTGAAGTAAATCAACATCCCACTCCTTATTATAATAAGAGAGCAAATTATTCACCAGATCATCCTGTAACCCCACACCAGGCATAGTAGTAATTCTCGGATTTTCTAAATCAGGTAACCAAGGCTCCGTCCAAATATAAATGGACTTGCCGTCCCTGACACGTCAACTATACCCTTCTTTAATAAGATTTTGGGCATGAAAAATACTTCTCCACATAAAAGAAAGGTTATGTTCAAGTGAAGCAAAAATAAAATCACTCCTAGGATAGTACCAGGCCTTAAAAACCCTTCCATATAACGTTCCTGGTTCAAAAGAAATTCTCCAAGCCTGTTTAGCCAGCATCGAAATATTAAAATCACAGAGACGCCTAACACCCATGCCCCCAAACTTCTTAGGCCTACTCATAACTTCCCAATCCTTCCACCTAATCCCCTTACTTGCCTTTCCATTCCACCAATACCCATTCATTAAAACCTCAATCTCGTGAAGAAACACATCCATGGCGTAGACTGGCATAGCCTGCACCACCGCTTTCAGAAGAACCTCTCTGCCCGCCCTTGACAAGAATATGTTATTCTTGTGAATACGATTGACCACTCTTGTCTATTATACAATTATACTGTAGAATCTCCCTTTTATTATGCCCCACCAAGGCTGGTAACCCCAAATAGCGTTCCTCCCGCCCATCAATTCCCACCCCCATCACCTCAGTTAAACCATCCTTATAATTTGCTGACACATTTGTACAGAAGAAAATGTTGGACTTATTAAAATTGGTCACCTGAACGGAAGCCCCCTTCATAATCTAGCAATGTCTCCTTCACAATAGTAGCCTTCTCATGGGATGCACTACAAAAAAGTAAGCTGTCATCCGCAAAAATCAAATCAGAAATTCTCGGCGCACCCCGAGTGACTGCCACCCCAAGTAATCGACCCACAGCTTCATGTTGTTGAAGGAGCGCACTTAGCGCCTCCACAACTATAATGGATAAATAAGGTGAAAGAGGGTCGCCTTGTCTCAAACCACGCGACAGCCAAATTGGCCCTATTTGTGATTCATCGAAAGGAATGGAATAAGACTCATAAATAACACACTCCATTACTAGACGAACCCATCTATCAGCAAAACCTAGGTGCCTCATCATTTCTTCCAGGAAAGACCATTCTACTTTATCATAGGTCTTATTCTAATCAAGTTTAAAAGCCATAAACCCGGTCCTCCTCTGCCTATTCCGTTTTAGAAAATTCTGAGTTTTAAAAGCTAACATAATGTTATCTATAATAGAACTGCCAGGAATAAAAGTACTCTATTGCTCCGAGATACACGAGTGAAGCAACTCTTTCATTCTGTTAGCGAGCACCTTGGATTTTTTTAATAAATAACATTACATAAGACTATTGGTCTCCAATCACCCAAAGACTCTGGTTTCTCCTTTTTTGGAATAAGCAAAATATTAGTATTCTTAATTTTCTCTAGTAGTTTGCATGTTTCAAATCTGCCCTGCAAAAGCTAACCAAATCCGGCCCAACAACATCCCAATAATGTTGGAAAAAGCCCGGTCTCAACCTATCCGGCCTTGGAGACTTATTAGGATACATGGCAAACAATGCCTCCTTAACCTCCTCTCCCCTAATTGGCCGCAATAACTCAAGAGTATGCTGCTCTCCCAACTTCTTAGGAACACAATTGAACACAAAATAACCGTTCCTCTGAGCTGAGGAAAAATACTGAAAAAATAGTCGTTAAATAGTCGCCCCATTTCAGCTCGATCACCCTCCCAAGTACCATCATCCTGTTTAAACCCCCAATTATATTCTTCCTTATGCGATATTTAACTAAATTGTGGAAGTAGCGGGTATTGAGATACCCCCTTTCAGCTCGAGTTCTTTGCCCTTTGCCTCCAAAATTGGTTTTCCTTCTCTAGAAGCTCAAGATACTCACGTTTCACTCGTTGGAATTCACCAATTCCCCACGGGTCCATCCTCCTTGGAAGAAATTCAAGACGTTTTTTACAAAAGCCAATACGCTTCCCATAGGATCCCACCTTGCACGTCCCCAATCGCCGACTGCATTCCCACAAATCTCCACCTAGTCATAATCCCATGCTCACGGCACCCTCAACTTCTAGCTTCCTACAAATCTCCACCTAGTCATAATCCCATGCTCACGGCACCCTCAACTTCTAGCAACTATCTCACGACAGTCATCTTCACGAAGCCACACATTCTCAGACGTCTCCGACAAACCGCTTGGGTAGGAAAGAGACGAATGGATAAGGCGAAATGATCACTAGGCGAACCCTACAACGACTCTGCTATAACACTTCGAAATGATTCTAACCAATTTTCCTTAACTAGAATTCTGTCCAGCTTCTCTTCCACTCAACTAGGAAAACCCCGCCACCGTTCTCAAGTAAACTGATAGCCTTGGGAAGAAAAATTCTGCAACCTGCAAGCTCAAACAATCTCTTGGAAACCTCTCAGAAGCCACAATGGATGAGGAATTCACCCCCGTTTTTCAGACTCAAACATGAGATCATTAAAATCCCCCATGACTAGCCACAAAGTCGACTCCCCCAAACTCAAGGATTTAAGTACATCCCAAGCACACTTGTCGCTGCGGTAAGGCTAGTCGCGGCGCCAGCCTACCGCCATATCACCTAGGCGACAAGGCGCCTGCCTAGCTGACAATTAGGCGACTAGTTGCACATTCTATAAATTTATAATATATTATATATAATTGTATACATAATTATATATATAATTATATATATTATTCTATTTAATTGTATTTAATTCGTAACTCGTTATATATATCATAAGTGCACATTATTTACTGTATTATTCAATCTAAAATCTAAATATATTAATATACTACTGCTATAAGAATATGTTTACGAAACACAACAAAGAAGAACCTACATTTTTATTAAAAGATCTGCTATATTATAAGATTTACTTTTAGCCCCACTAGGCCACTTCCCACTTCCAAAAAAGCACACTTGTCCACTTGCAGTATTAGATAAGGTAGTAAGATACACTAGAAGAAAAAATAAGCTCGCACAATTCTCAGTTGCTCACATGCAGGTGTTCTACTGCTAGAAGAAACAGAAAAAACAAGTAACTAAAAATAAAAAAAGCACCACATTAACCCATAAAACCTGGGAGCAATGTCGGATGCTCGACTTCTTTCCCGCGAGGCTGTGACGGAAGTTGTATGGGGTGAAGGTTGAGTTTACAAATGGTCAAAGTAAGATTTGGGCTTTATTTTAGTTGTCTAAAACTTTGTTTCCAAAAACTAAATCTGGGCCTTCGGTTTGGACTACGAAAGATTACTCTGTTATATACGCTACGCTAAGGCGAACGCCTTATTGCCAAAACCGACGACTGGACAACGACAGGAGGACGCCATAGTCGCCTATTCTTCTTCCGGCGAGGCGACGGCTCTTGGCGACCCCTCCCCAGTGACTGGATGCCTAGTTGGCGCCTAGGCGACACCGTAACAAGTATGATCCCAAGACTCCCTTCTCCTGCTTCGTTCAGAGCACCCATAGAAACCAGTAAATCACCAAATAGGATCCTCAACCTCTAGCCTTACACGGGCATCAATAAAATGGCTGGAAGATCCTATAATATTAACTTGGACCCCCTCGCCCCAAAGTAAAGTTAGACCGCCTCTATGACCTCTCTAGGAACAACAAAGCAAGAATGTAACTTCACCTTCCTCATCACTTCCTCCACCCTCAAAATATTAGAAAAGTTTCCATAAAAAAACCAAAGTCGGCCGCTTTAGGTGAACTAAGTCCGCCAATGCTTGAACTATCACGGGATTGCCAAGCCCGCTACAGTTCCAACTCCGACAACTCATGGTTCCCGGCGGGTCTGGAGCCTAAAACCCGCCGTCAATCCACTTTTTGGAAAAGATATCTCCATATAAGCTGTGTGTTTCCTTTTGCCCCCCATAAGAATGTAAACCACCACTGCCTGATGCTCCATCCTGCCACACAGCCAAGCTTGTCCCTAGCTGCTCATTGCACCAAGAAGGAACAGTAACCAGGTCCTTTTCCTCTGTACCAGAGGCCTCTGCTCCTCGCATCACCTGCCTCTCTTCAGTAGGGCGCAGAAGATTCCCCTTGCCATCGGCTAACCATCTACTACCCTGGCTGTCCCCCCCTTTTCTGCCACCTGCCCTCAGCCAATCCCCAAACGTTTTCCTTTGACCCTCAAACCCTTCATCAAACCGGCATGGACACAGCCTGTCAACATGACTCAGTAAACCACAAGTGAAGCAAAAATGTGGCAGCCGTTCATACTTTAGTTCCACCTCAAAACTCCCAGCTCTTTTTTAAGAACCAGACAATGTTTCAAAAGTTCATCAATATCATTAAGAACCTGGATTCTCATGTATTCCTTCCAGCCATCCTTGAAGTTTTGCTTAGCCGCACACACCACTCCCCACCCAATTGCCTATGAATTGGGCCATCTTTTCTGTGAAGAACACTGGTAATCTGTGCACCTGAATCCAGAATATCTCTTGAGATAATGGTACCGAGTTGGGATTATCCGCAGGCCCCAGTTCATGTAATACCAACAGAGAATTGTCAAACAACCATGGACCATCCGCAAGGACCCTTTCAACGTCAAACTCGTGAAAAACTGAAATATGTATTGCCGATCATTTATCTCTCGAATATGAACTCCCCTGCCTGGCCTCCAGATTTCGGCTACGTTATCTCTAAAATAGGGAAACTGACTTATCTGTAAGTAAATGGCCTACCAAGCAATTGGACAAAACCACCGGTGTCTCTTCCAGAAGTCCGTCCTTGATATCAACTCTCTCAATTTCTCCATCCTCCAGGTTTAACCGAGCATCAAGATCCTCCACCGAGTCAGCCATGTAGACAAAAAAACCACAGCCAGCAACGAAAAAAATAACAGAAAGCAAGAAAACGATGCAGGAACCCTACATGACTAGGGAAGAAGACCACATGCAATATAATTTTTAGTAATCAGAACTGTAGCTTAATTAATCAGTAGAACAAAGTAGTCAAAGTCTAGCTTGTTCTTAGCTCTTTCTGGGTTTAAGTGGCTGGTAAAATAAAAGTTATCTGACTTATTTCTAATAGGGTGAGCATCTAACTTCTCTTATACCGCAATACAACTTACTTACCCTTTAAGTTTATAAGCAAACATATCCAAAATCGAATCTTGTTTGGAAAAGGAGATATTAAAGTATAACATCAGGTTTCTATATATAAATCGGCGTTGTGGTCAAGGTTCGAGGATGATGTATTGCTGTCGTCGTTGGAGAAGATCGGCGCCGCCTATCCGTTTACTCTGGTTGCATGAAGCAGGGATGAGTTTGGTTATGCAGGGACGGAAGATTGATGCATGGCCTTTGGCAGACAAAGGTCACGAAGTATCAATTAGCATGGTACCGATGGTAAGACCTCCTCCTGAACCACCACCATGGGATGTACGAGGTGCTAGAGTTCGTGAACGCTTTTCTTGTAGTTTTCATTTGTTTGTTATTTGTTTTCTTGTGTTCACTTTTGTTGTTGGTTTTGACAGTTTGTTTGAGTTTTTTGCCTCTCTTTATGTCATTGGGTATGGTTGGATCTATGGGAATAGGTTTGGCTGTGTCAAGCCCACTACATGGTTAGCGATTCGTGTTGCTCTCTCAGGGGTGACCGTCTCAAAGTCTCACCATAGGGTTACAGTCGTAGTTGTTGAAGTTTCAGTTGGTGTCAGTTTTATTTTCCTTTTGCTTGATGTAATGATCCTGAATCTTTTGATATGAATAGAGGCCCGTTTGATGATAAAAAAAAAATATATAAAGTTATAATTGGAGCTTCAATGCCTATGGGGGTATGCCTATTTCTCATCATATTGTTTTTTCACAAAGCTTTTGATGATATTGCTTTTTGGCAGGTCGATAAGGAAGAAGTGCGAATGAGAAGAACAATTGGGCTCAAGAAAGATGAATATTTCTTAGATGGAAAACATATCACGTGAGTATCCAATAGTCAATCTAAGAGTGTATATTACTGCTACCTGTTTCTCTTTAATGACTGCTGATTGAAAATTCCAAAACCCTAAACAATTGTAGGAAAACTGAAGTCATGAACTTACTGGAAAGTGCAGGATTCTCTCGATCGAATCCATACTATGTTGTGCAGCAGGGAAAGGTTTGTTTCTGTTGCATTTCGTGTTTTAGTGTTTTAGATTACGTTTTGCTTGCGCCTTGCACATTCTTCCGTTTATTTGCAGATAGCATCATTGACAGTGATGAAAGATCCAGAGCGACTTGATCTACTGAAAGAAATTGGTGGCACACGAGTCTATGATGAGAGACGCCAGGAAAGTCTAAAGATTATGCAAGAAACAGGTAATCCATTTTTTCTCACACTCACACACTGATATTTTTAGTTATTTACTAGCAGCTATGTGTTCAGGTAATAAGAAGAAGCAGATTATTCAAGTTGTGCAATACATGGATGAAAGGCTGAGAGAGCTGGATGAAGAAAAAGAGGAACTTAAAAAATATCAGCAGCTTGACAAACAGAGGAAATCTTTGGAGTACAGTATCTTTGATAAGGAACTTCAGGATGCAAGGCAGAAATTGGCAGAGGTAAGCTATGCGGTGCACTTCTTGTAAAATGTATGGTAAAGATTTAAAAAAAAATTCTATTCTTATTGGCGTTTTTTGTAGATCTCCCATGATTTAGAAAATGTGTGAGTTATGTGATGTCTGTTGGAAAATAAATCTATGCCAGAGCCTCAAATTAACCAAAGTTGGATATTTCATGTGTGTAAACATCCATTTCAGGGAGAAAATTATAGTTTTATGGATTGCAACATATATTTATAAATTTGGGCCTTTTTTTTTTTATCTTCACAAGGAAGCTTGAAATGAATAACTGGATTCATGGGATTACAATAGCTTCTCAAAAAGGACCTTTTGGAAAGCTACTTCTACAAAATTTCAAGGACCCTTTTGGTTTAGGCATTTTGAGAGTTATTATAACTACAGTGTTAATTGCTGCAGGTTGACAAGACTAGGAATCAAATTTCTGAAACATCTACTAAGATGTATGAAGAAGTGCTGACGGCCCACGAAAGGTCTAAGGAACTTGAAAAGTTGTCCAAAGATCTGACCAAGGAAATTCAAATTCTAAGCAGGGAAAAAGAAGTGATAGAAAAACAGCAATCAGTCGCTATCAAGAAGCATACCGAGCTTGAGCTTGATGAGAAAGACCTTCGGGAGAAGATCAGTGCAAATTACAAAGCCAAGGTATTCTCGTTACAACTATATTAAGCTGGTAGTAACATGCATATAGATTGAAATGTGGTTTACCTAATTTTATCCTTGCGCTATATATTTTTAGGAGGAAGCAATTAAACAACTTCACCTTCTAGAGAGCGAAATTCAGAAGTCAACAGATGCACTCAACAATATTAAGCCTTTTTATGAGAAACAAGTTCAAGAGGAAGATGAGATAACAAAGAGGTATAACTAGAAAAAGTCTTTATTTTGCATGCTTAGAGATTCAAATCCTTCAAAAAAGCCTCTTTTTTAGTAACACAATTAAGGTTATAGCCTCATACATTGAAACTTTCCTTAAACCTTGGTTTTTTTGCTCAAGATACAACCTTTTAAAATACAATAAAGCACCTCTTCTTAATAGGATGGCCCTCTAAAGTCATGTTAGGGTCCTAGAAGTATTATGAAAGCTGAAACAAGCTGGATTACTTGTAATCTAGTAGTTTAGGACTCCTAGAACTAAATCTAGTAGTTTAGGTTTATTAGAGATATGAGTTCTAGTGTCCAGAGGTTATAATGTGCCCTTTAAGACTGCGAGCACTTCTTAATATTATAATAATACTTCTAAAGTCTTATTTAGTCCTTTTCATGTATATGCCAATTTGTACCCAGCCCAAGTTGTTTTTGAAGCTGAATGCCCAAAACTTGTCTTAAAACCCCCAGATCCCATGAGCTCAAATACAAAACTGGTCTTGCACACCCAATAATTGAAGACCCTTAATGTATAAGTTTTGAAAATTTGATTCCTCAAGGCCTTCAATGGAGATCTTGAGCAACACATTAGCTTCCTCGAGATTCGACTGTGTGTACAAGAATGATTCTTGATCGACCCTTGTATTTAAGAAAAGCTAGTATCGGTATATTCAAAGAAAAAGTGATGAAAAGTTACAGGAATAAGAATATCTATAGTAGTAATAGTTTAGGATGTGTAGAAACCTACTTTTTGGTCCTATACTCCTATCCTACTAGTAAAACTTAAAGTATGTGTAATATGCAAACTGTGAAAGATATTAGAATAAGTATAAGAATATGCTTTAGAATGTTTTAAAAATACTCTAGGATATTATTATTGTATAGCATCTTTATAGCAATGTTATATCTTTGTAATCTTTATTTATAAAGACTTAACCTTCTAATGAAATATATAGATAATCCTCCCCTCTACAAATATTATTGTAGTTTTTATTTATTTATATTTATATATGTATATTCTATATATTTTGACATGGTATCTGAGCCATTACATTCCACCCTAATTTTTACCGTCCAGAACCTTAGTTAGAACCTCTGTTCCATTTCAGTCTAATTTTACAATCCAGAACCCCATTAAGAACTTCACTTAAAAACTCTCTCACCTACGTCCTAGCCAGGTGCGCCTGCCGCTGGCGACCACACCATTGAAATCCGCACCGGAAAATCACTGTGCGTCAGCCGCAAGAGCCGTCAATATGCACAGCCGTCGCACACGCCGGTGCATGAGGCTTCATAGCTAGCCGTTTTTTTGATCGGAAACCACCGTGAAAGCCGCCTAAATATTATTTACCATTGGATCCGTTGCCTGTTTTGGGTCTGCAAGTTTTTTTGGATCCATAGGCCCTTTAGTGAAGAACACAACTTTGGTTTCAGCTACAATTGTCTTTCGGTGAAGCAAAATACAAAGCCTTCCAAGCCCATTTTCTTTTTGCTTCGGTTTTGAAGTATGATGGAGGATTTACCTTATCTTTTTGAAACGGAAGTGACCTAGCGGTTATTGGGAGATGCCCGGTAGTCTAGTAAGGTGAGCGTGGACCAATCTTTGTATGTCTATTCTAGATTTGGGTCTCTAGCAGTCCACGAACTAAAATCGACACATAGTCTGCAAGTTTAAATTAATTTTACTCCGTGGAAGAAAAAAGTGCCTTACATCCGTCAAGCATTTTTTTCTCCCATTGCTAAATTAACATCTCTCTGGTTATTTATTTCACTCGCTGCAACTTATGGCTGACCCATGCCAGGATCAGTTAGTCACATCGCATGACATGGATCGAAATATGAATATTGTTATAGCTACGTCGTCGCCCGTAAGCAACGCAACATCCACTCATCCCTGCTGCCCTTGGGGGTGGTGTTAAATATGCAAGGGTGCGCTACACTTCATAGGCCTGAATGTGGTGATAAGAATGCTAGGTCGTCGCCTGGAAGCGACGTGCCACTCCAATTCCCGGGGATGGGGTCAAATGTGCAAGGGCATGGTGGGGGTCAATGTGGTGTCAAGAAGAGAAGGTGCTAGATTGCGTTTTGGGACGTGGAATGTTGGTTCTCTTACGAGAAGATCATCTGAGGTAGTCAAAGTTATGAGTAGGAGGAATATTAACATGATGTGTGTGCAAGAAACTAAGTAGGTCGAAGAAAAGGCACTTGAGATTAATCCTAGAGGTTTTAAGTTGTGAAATCCAGGGAGAGAGAAGAACATAAATGGAGCAAGCATTATTGTGGAGCGTGATTGTGTTGATGGTGTGGTGGAGGTCTTTAGGAAGAACGACCGCATCATGAGCATTAAGTTAGTAATAGGAGGTGAGATTGTCCGTGGAGTTCTTATGCACCACAAGTGGGATTGGATGCATCTATCACTCTACAATTTTAGGAAGATCTTGGTGAAGTGGTGCGACGAGTGCCAAGGGGAGAGAAGCAGGAGTCGAGGCATTGAAACACACGATCGAGGGCATTGACCATTGAACTGCTGCAGAACATATATTATGATTTATGTTACATGAAGGGAACATCGGAATTCGGAATGAAGTATAGTTTATCTAAACGATGATCACATGAGAATAGAATGCTTTGTAGATCCTGATTGGGCTGGATATAAAGATGATAGAAGATCTACATCCGGCTATTGCGTCTTCTATTGGGGTAATCTAGTTTCGTGGAAAAGTAAGAAGCATAATGTGGTTCTCGTTCTAGTGATGAATCAGAATATTGAGCTATTGTGCAATCTGCATGTGAGATAATATGGATACACCATTTATTGAATGAAGTCGTATTGAAGACACCAATGTCTGCTAAGTTGTGGTGCGATAACCCAACTGCTATACACACTTGCGAATATGTGAAGACGGGAGAACAATTTGGATATTTATTCACTAAAGCACTAAATGGGATTCGAGTTGATTACTTATGTACCAAGTTGGGCATGATAAACATCTATGCTCCAACTTGAGGGAAGTGTGAAAGATATTAGAAGAAGTATAAGAATATGCCTTTGAATATTTAGGAATATACTCTACTATATTATTATTGTATTGCATCTTTATAAGAATATTCTATCATTTTAATCTATATTTATAGTGACTTAACCCTCCAATGAAATATACTGAAAACCCTTCTACAAATATTATTGTAGTTTATATTCTATGTTTCAACAACTCTCTAAAATGAACGATCCTATCAGGTTATCATAAATAGGACTAGGAGAATTTGGCTAAAGATCCCAATTGAAGCAAGTAACACCATTCTCTTGGAGACCTCAATGTTGGACCTCTCTTCAAGATGATTACTTTTGGGTTTGTAACCCCTCCTGTATGGCATTGTCATCACATCAATTATTCTCTCTCAAGCCCAATTTCACATTAAATTAACACAAGAATCAACATTAGACATGCTTGTCATTTCTTGTGCGTGGCCTAATTCTTTGATGCGTACCTGTTAGTTTTGATGCACGTTGGATCTTTTCCCCCCTTGCATGGCGATGGGAACTGCAGGATAATTGATAAAACCTAGAGGCCCATATTTCTATTTTTTGGGTCTCGATCATATACTAGTGCTTTGTATTTTAGATATGTGTAGGTTTCGAGATCCTAATTGACTAATTCACAGCAGAAACCCCATGTATCCTTATGAAAGTGTTATGAAGAGAAATATCTTGAAAATATTGCTGTTTGCATTCTCCTGTATAATGTTTGTCTTTGATACCATTTTCTTCATTTTCCTTATAATCTTAGTGATAAACTTGGGCTCCATATTAGCAAAAGCTTTATAGTCTTGCCTATGATTTCATATTTGAACTTTGTTTGTGTTCTTGAGTTTTCTGAATCATTCTATTATGCAGAATTATGGAACGTGAAAAGCAGCTTAGCATCCTTTATCAAAAACAGGGCCGGGCTACTCAATTTGCTAACAAAGCTGCCCGTGATAAATGGCTTCAAAAGGAAATCGATGAGTATGAAAGAATCTTGTCCTCAAATCATAAGCAGGCAGGTGTTCCTCTTTATTATTAAATTTGTTATGTGCTCTTAAAATTTCTGTTCAGCATCCATGTTGCAGAAAACTTGTCCGTAAGTGTTTGGTTAATACTCCCTTTGTTCAACAAAGGTACACGGTTTGACTTTGCAGACGTATTAATAAAAGTGAAATTGTTCTGATGAGATTTATTTAAAAGGAAAGAAAAATATCACCACACAATTCTTCTTTAAATGAAAAGAGGAACCCTATTTTGGGATGTACAAAAAAGTTAAACATAACCTTTTTGAAGACACAGGGATATGCTTTCTGCTTACTGATGTATGCGTTTTTACTTCATAGACATGTTATTACTTCTACACCAGAGGATTCCTGTGATAGATTTATGTTGATTGCTGTATTCACGTCATAGCACATGGTTTGGTTTTGTAGCACACAGTTCTGGCTTTGTAGTACAGTGTGAAAGCACACACATTTCAGTATACTGTTCTGCTCCTTTATTGTGCCTACATTACAGGCATTTGTATCTCATTTCAGTACAAGTCATATGCATTTTTCACTTCTTCCTCTCCCTGTTAACGTTGTGTAATAAATGTACTTATCATAGGGACCATATGTCGTGATTGAATTTACTTTTTCCAGGAGAGTCAACTTCGTGGCGAAATTAAGCAGCTTCATGAAGACATGAAGATTCATGATGATATCATCATGCATCGCAAAAATGAAGCAGCTGTCAGGGAAGCTCTCATATCTGGATATCGGCAAAGTTACACTGCTTTTAAAAGACAGAGAGACGAGCAGCATGATGAGCGGAAGTATGCACAACTTTGATTTGCTTTAGGTTTTCTTTAAAAGAATTTCTTTCACATGTGATGTGATGGTAATATAAGAGAGAGATGTGTGTTTCTTTAAATACTTGTAGGTCTTTGTGGGCGAAAGAGAGTGAACTTACTGCTGAAATTGCTCGACTCAAAGCAGAAGTTGAGAAAGCAGAGAAAAGCCTAGATCAAGCAACACCTGGGGTTAGTATTATCTATAGCACAGAAGTATGAAATCATTTGGAAGTGACACACATCTCTTACTGAGTTTGGTGATCTTAGCTCACCACAGGCTATGACATATTTAATTAAGCAATAATGAGAAATTCCTTCCACTAACATGTCAGACCGGATTGTTTTAATTTCTCTTTGACATCTTTATTTTTTATTACATGGCATGGAAAACGATGGAGCCAAAGGCTCACTATTTTTTGGCTTGAGAATATGATGGAATAAAGCAATATGGCTCAATAAACTGTCCGCGCTTCTTTATTATGAAGCAGCAGATAGTCCATGCAATTTTCGACGCGATTCTCACTATGGGTCATCCGGAAACAGTCTTTCCCTGCTTTAGTACAGGGGTAAGACTGCGTACATCCGACCCCCCCTACCCCACCGTAGGTGGGAGCCTTTGCGGCACTGGGAATGATGATGATGGCATGGAAATTTTTCTACGAAATTAACCAAACACTTAAGAGCAACCTCCTGACATAAACCTAATTGTGTGTCTTTATTAATTTCAAGGATATTAGAAGGGGACTGAGCTCAGTCAGGAGGATATGCAAAGTGCATACAATTCCTGGGGTATTTGGCCCAATATTTGAGTTGCTTGAATGTGAAGAGAGGTTCTTCACTGCTGTTGAAGTTACTGCGGGAAATAGGTACTATTTACTTAGTTTTACTGGCGAAGCTGTGTGTCAAATCTTTAACATACTGATATCAGCTTGCTTATTATTTGTGCTGTATGTGATTTCTCCCCACTTTGCAGCTTATTTCATGTTGTGGTTGAGAATGATGATATATCAACCCAAATTATTAGACATCTAAACTCAGAGAAAGGTGGGCGAGTCACATTTATTCCATTGAACAGGGTGAAGGCTCCTGAAGTTTCGTATCCACAGAACAATGATGTGATACCACTTCTAAAAAAATTGAAGTTCTCCAACAGATATACAAAAGCATTTGAACAGGTTGTTACACATATATTGTTAATTACTACCTCCGTCCCCCTAATATTGGGATGGAAGAGAGTGGTGTAATTTTTAAGAAAAGTAGAATTATGTGGTTGGTAATGAGTTGATAAAGTGAGAATAATATAAGAATGAATTAGAGTCACACAAATGTTACCAAATATGGTATGGGACAATAATACGGGGACATCCAAAAATGAAAAAATGGGACAATTATAGGGGATGGAGGGAGTATAATTATAGAAGCTGTATAAGATTTGAGGAGTTGGTCGGTTCAATTATTTAAGCATTAAATTGGTGCATATCTCTGAGTAATAACTGTTGGGGTGTAGGCTTCGGCCCACTGAGATCTGGGATCCAAATAAACAAGGAGCAGTAGCCAGCCCTATCTAGATGTGCAGCCAGCCCTAGTTGGGCCTGCTTTTTGGTGGCAGTCAGGCCCAGAGTTTAATTAACATTTTACCCTAATTGTTTGCCTATATATCGACTCCTGTACTTGTAAACAACCGACTGTATTTTTCATCACTTCAATAAGAAAGAAAACCCTAGTTGCCCCTGTGGATTAGGTCAGTAACATTTACTGGTTGAACCACGTTAAATTCTTGTGCCGCTCTTGTTTTTTTCTTTCTTTCTAATATTTTCAGATTTGTGTGTGTGAGCGTTAGAGATCCTAATCCTAACAATAACCCTAAGAAATTATAAATAAATATTTTTGGAATAGATTTTGAAAGAAGATTAAGAAAGTGATTCCAAGTGTGAAAGAACAAGCACTGTATTGTATGGTAAGTAAAGTTATAAAGCACTTGATGATGCCAACCTGCTTTGTAACTCTCAAAGAGATAACCATGCTTGAATGTGTTATGTGTGTGATATTTGTTCTCTCTTCTTGCTATAACGATGCATAAAAAGTAGCCCTATTCCGTAGCTGAGGCCCAATTATGCAATCCAGTGCAAGGCATGCAAGTTCGAGTATAGCTTGCCTTCTAGTTCAAGTATAGCACATTTTATGACCTGTTGACTTCATTAGTCCTCTTAAAATATTGCTTAATAAATAGTGAATGGAATTTCTTACTGTATTTTTACTATTATTTCATTATGTGAATCAGGAATTTATGTTGCAACTCTGAAATAGATATTCATGTATTTGTTTGTGACTTGTTTTCTCTCTCTTTTCCATAAGGTTGCATGAAATGTGGCTCTGTTCTATGTATGAGTATTGAGTAATCTACACCCCATAAATTTATTGCTGAGACCCACTATTGCTATCAACACGAAGACGTGGAGTGTTATAGAGTAATGATAAATAGTGTGAGTGAATTTTTTATTATATTATACTGTTGTTTCACTATGTGAATTGGGTAATCTATCTAGGTGTTTGCTCGAACTGTAATTTGCCGGGATTTGGATGTTGCAACAAGAGTTGCGCGCACAGATGGTCTTGACTGCATAACTTTGGAAGGTTTAGGATTCTCAATTAATGATTTATTTTTACTGTTAGTGTTTGTCTATTGCGGTAAGAAACTGGCGTATTTTCTACTTGTAGGTGACCAAGTGAGCAAAAAAGGAGGTATGACTGGTGGGTTTTATGATTATAGGCGTTCAAGACTGAGGTTTATGAGCATTATTAAGCTTAGAACAATTTCTATCCGCGAGAAGGAAAATGAACTGGTGGATGTTAGGAAAATGCTTGAAGATATCCTTTTACACCTTAGCCCTTGTTTAATTTGCATTTTATGTTTATCTCATTTTTAGATCTGGTGTTGATAATGTGCTTAGAACTTATTCTCCATTGTTCTTTTGCATTGATACCATGTATTTGAGCCTCTGGCATTGATATCTGAATTATAAACATAAGACGAAGTGTAACATGTTTTAAGTTCTTTCATGTTAAGAACAGCTAGATCCTCTCATGTTGATCCCAAATTTATCCCTCTCTGTATAAAAGTAAAAGTAAAAGTGCATCTTCACTCTCGCGACTTTGCATGATGTAGTTGTTTGTGCGTTTGATTTTAAAGTATAACATGTTAGAAAAAGCTAGATCTTCATGCGCAAGTTTTTGATTTTATATATGCCACATGTTACGATGCATCTTGTACAGTCTGTATTGGTATTCTTTTAGTACCTGATTTTTATGAGATATCAACAGGTTTCTTGTGTGTGATGTTCTTATTGAGATTATGAGATGCCATACCCTTTGAGGTCACGGAGTTTCTATTACACTAGATTTATATGATGTTACACTCTTGATGAGTTAACTCCCCTTCATGCCTTTAAAAGCAAAGTTAATTTGATTACTTGTGTCTACAAGTTGATGATCGAATTCAGTATGAAATCGCATTACTAATAGTGGTTTCTCATATTAGCAATTCTCGGATTTTGTTGCTGAGAGAAATTGCCTGAATTAGTCATGCCCCATGCTTTCACTTAGCTTTTCTCACAGATGGACCAGAAAATTAATGAGCTAGTGGCTGAACAGCAGAAAAATGATGCTAAGTTGGCTCATGACAAATCTGAGCTAGAACAGTTCAGGCAGGACATTGCAAATGCTGAAAGGCAAAAAAGTTCCATTGCTAAAGCTGTTGAGAAAAAGGTATCTTTAATTCCTTAATCCTTATACTTTATGTCCACCGAAGCAACTGCAAAGGCCACTGCATTTGGACCATGTTTTGAGAACTGATTGAACCTTTTGAAGGAGAAATTGCTGGCCAATGTTTTGACCCAAATTGATCAGCTTAGATCTAGTATAGCCATGAAACATGAAGAGATGGGAACAGAACTTGTTGATCACTTGACACCAGAAGAGAGAGAAGCTTTGTCACGCCTGAATCCTGAAATAACAAATCTGAAAGAGATGCTTATAGCATCCAAGGCAAAACGCATGGAGGTATGTTCATATATTGAATATCATAGTTACACAAAAGATCCATTTGTTTTGTCAATGTGTCATGTTTGCATTCGATTATTATCTGTGTGTAGACTGAAACAAGAAAAGCAGAGCTGGAGATGAACTTATCAACAAATCTTGTAAGGCGGAAGCAAGAGTTGGAGGCAATCAAAGTGGCTGTAGACATTGATGCGCTTAATTCTGAAGCTGATTTGAAGGGACAAGAAGTACTGGAGGTTCATAAGTTGCTCGAGAACTTGAGTGAACAGATCAAAAGTGAGTAGTTGTACTTAATCTGCTATGGTAGTTAGGTAGTATGGTCTGAATCTGAATCTTTCATTGACATTTCCTAAAAAAAATCCTTTTAGGGGTTTCTGTGAATTTAAATAAAAAAATTTTGGAGCTGCAGGAGATCAAAGGTAAAAAAGACAAGTTGAAGGTAATTCCATTGTATTTAGTGTTCATAGGGTTTTCAGTCTTCCATCAGTTGCTTAGAAATTAAATTCAATGCAGGCTCTGGAGGATAAGTATCAGGGAACACTTCAGGATGAAAAGAGAGAACTGGAGCAACTCTTAAATAAAAGGAACATCTATGTTGCAAAACAAGAAGAGTATTCAAAGAAGATTCGGGAATTGGGTCCATTATCTTCTGACGCTTTTGAAAAGTAATCTTCTTCTCTGATTTTGAACACATCCTCTCGAGTTATCTGTATTGCATTTTCTCTTCTTACTGATATGCGTGGGTGGTATATTACTATGTGAACCAGGCTTAGCTGTACGCCTGTACCCATATGTATATATGTACACACACAGGGCATTGTACATGTTCTGTACATAAAACTAAAGATTCTTTTCCTCTGCAGCATGGTATTGAAATAAATAAGGCTGTTTGTTTGTATATGTAATAACTTATTAGGAATTATGTTATTTATGCGTTGGGAGTCGAGGGAGTTGAAAGTAATCCCGATTGACTAGAGTTTCAGTGATGTGCTAGGCCAACCCGTGTCTTGATGTATATTGCTACTGTCTGTTTCGGTCATCATGTACCAAAGACGTGCAAAGGGGCCTAATTAATTGGTCGACAAGTTATCATAATTGTTTTCTTAATTTTAGCTTTCCTACCTTTAATCAGTCTCTTATTTCTCAGTTCGTAATAATTTAGACTTAGATCTTTTTCCAATTGATGTTTTAGGATTTTGTCTTTTAGCTATATAAGGGTTATCAGGAATAAAATAGTTAGCTTTGGACTATCGAGATGTTCGATTTTGATACCCACCACCATTTCCTCGAATCCATATCTTCATCATCAACTACCTGACAAGATCTTGTACCAAGGCCTAAAGGGTCCTTTGTCTCTGGTTGATGATTTCCATGAAACATCGAAGGTTTCAGCGTTAAGAGTTCCATTGCTCACCGTCCTGGATGCCAATGCCAAATTGTACAGGTCTAGTCAAGGTCATTGATGATGAACAAAAGGATTCAGAGCTATGATGTTTGAATAACAATCTACCTTGTCACCTGGTAGCCAAATAAGGTGATGGGTGGTTCCATCAATCAGACCAAAGTCAGTTTTTTTAAAACATTAATAGTAAAGAGATTTTCACTATTTCAAACTCAGAAGTAAGAGATAGACCAAGATAAGGAAAATTAAATAAAATTAAACAACTAGGACAAGGAAAATTAAATAAAAGGGAACAACTGCCAAGTACATACATCGTGGTCTGATGGCATCACTGGTGCCGTTTCTTTTAAAGTGGAAATCACAGGTTCGTACTCATACCAATCAAGGGCGTTGGCACTATCATTGAATGGATACTATAACAGGTTACAAGTGTTGCGTAAAAAAAGAAGCAATCAGGATAACTCGTGAACAAATTAATTGGGGCCCTTTGTGTGTTGCTGGTACCCCGTAATATACTCACACGACCACCCTGTAATATACTTCGTAAGTTTTATAAGTCTTATATATGTATATAAAAAATAATTGGTATAATAACCATCATAAATCATAAATATTTGAAGATCCTTCATCTTATCCATTCTAATGTTGAACTTGTACCCTAAAGTAGTCGTTAGAACTTAGAATTTCCCATAACTCCTTAAGAATTAGTAGTGCGATTTATTTCTTGAATTCTTGGAATACAAATTTCTAGTAAAAAGTCGAAGAAGAAGAAGAAATAACCTATAGAAGATGACGAAAACCTCACTGAGACACTTAGCCGCTACTTTTTTGAATTACTTTGAAGCTCACCATGCTCAATTTAATCTTAATACTTCCAAAACCTATATTTTGTGGTATTCAGTATATTTTCATTAAAACAAAGCCTCTAATTTTGTTGAAGTCCTATGGTATTCCATCTAGAGTATTCAGAATTAACAAAAAGTGCATCCCATTGTAGTGTGGGTAACCCCGTGAGTAAATTGAGTTACTGAGTCAGGTAAGCTACTAGATATGATGTACATCCTATTAATGAGTAGATGAAGATTCAATGACATTGGGACATGCTATCAGCACTCAAAAGAGTTGTAATCTCCAGAATAACTCTTAAATTATAAAGAGAAGATAGTTTGATTGCTTAGCTGTAAACATGGATATGCGTTTAAAGGAAGCTTATCATGCGTTTGAGAATTAATTGATACTAACTAAAGCACAGTGTTTTGTTTGTGTACCACTGTACCCTATACATTTTCCAAGGGCAATAATTAAGTCTTTTGTTGCATTTTTTTCTTTACTCTGTTTTTGTCAGTCTCTTCATTATTGGACTATTGGTGCCTAAAGATATTTACTGTTTACAGTAATACTACCTGCTTTTCAATCATTTGCAATTGAGCCAAAGACTCACTAGTTTTTGGCTTGGGAATATGATGGAATAAAGCGAAATGGCTCACTAAGCTATCTTCACTTCTTTTTATGAAGCAGCAGTCAGTCCATACAAATTTCGACTCAATTTTCACTATGGGTCATCTGGAAACAATCTCTCTATGCTTTAGTACATGGGTAAGACTGCGTACATCCGACCCCCCTTACCCCACCGTAGGTGGCAGTCTTTGCGGCACTGGGGTAACGACGATGATGATGACAGTAATACTACTTGCTTCTATCAGAGAGCAAAAACTAAAATTGAAAATGATAAAAGTTGATACCCAAAACCAGAAAACAAAAATGAATAGCATCGACTACACAAATGAATAGTAAACTGAAAAAATTTAGTTTGATACAGGGAGTATAAAAATACTATAGTTGCATAATTGTATTATTATATTTGTAATTACTATATACTATTATATTATTATTATTATTATTATTATTATTATTATTATTATTATTATTATTATTATTATTATTATTATTATTATTATTATTATTATTATTATTATTATTATTATTATTATTATTATTATTATTATTATTATTATTATTATTATTATTATTATTATTATTATTATTATTATTATTATTATTATTATTATTATTATTATTATTATTATTATTATTATTATTATTATTATTATTATTATTATTATTATTATTATTATTATTATTATTATTATTATTATTATTATTATTATTATTATTATTATTATTATTATTATTATTATTATTATTATTATTATTATTATTATTATTATTATTATTATTATTATTATTATTATTATTATTATTATTATTATTATTATTATTATTATTATTATTATTATTATTATTATTATTATTATTATTATTATTATTATTATTATTATTATTATTATTATTATTATTATTATTATTATTATTATTATTATTATTATTATTATTATTATTATTATTATTATTATTATTATTATTATTATTATTATTATTATTATTATTATTATTATTATTATTATTATTATTATTATTATTATTATTATTATTATTATTATTATTATTATTATTATTATTATTATTATTATTATTATTATTATTATTATTATTATTATTATTATTATTATTATTATTATTATTATTATTATTATTATTATTATTATTATTATTATTATTATTATTATTATTATTATTATTATTATTATTATTATTATTATTATTATTATTATTATTATTATTATTATTATTATTATTATTATTATTATTATTATTATTATTATTATTATTATTATTATTATTATTATTATTATTATTATTATTATTATTATTATTATTATTATTATTATTATTATGATTTGTTTTCCCTACACATCCTTTTCCAAACATTATTTTATGTCTCTGAATGAGTGGCTGGAGATACTCATTTCATATTTCTTGTCTATGCACATACTTTTATTGGAATCACTAGGTATAGAAGGAAGAATGTAAAAGAGCTGTACAAATTGCTGCACAAGTGCAATGAGCAGCTGCAGCAGTTTAGCCATGTCAATAAAAAAGCATTTGACCAGTATGTAAACTTCACTGAGCAGAGAGAAGAACTCCAGAGAAGACAAGCTGAACTAGATTCTGGTGATGAGGTATGCCTGGCCGCCCTGGCGTATATTATTCATTCTTGGGTGCTCTGTGCCTCTGTTGAATTCAGCCTCGTTGTTTTATATTGAATTTGTCAGAAAATCAAAGAACTTATATCAGTTCTGGATATGAGAAAGGATGAGTCAATTGAGCGTACATTCAAAGGTGTGTCTAAGCATTTTCGAGAAGTATTTTCTGAACTTGTGCAAGGTGGCCGTGGGGTTTTAGTTATGATGAAAAAAAAGGTTAGGTTTGTTCTGAAGATCCTCTTCCTCATGCAGCTATGCTAATTGAAATATGTGTTTGCATTAGCTTATCCTGGCCCCTTTCATTATGACGAAGGAAAATGTTATGCTTAATCTGAATATCCTCTTTGTCATGCAGCTATCCCTCCACCTCGCTTATTTTTTCATTAAAGTAACATATGTACTGATACTATTGTATTTTTATGGTATTACTCTCTTTGAATTCAACTCCGCCTTATTCGATCAACCTTATGATGGTCTACTATCTTTCCTGCTGCATTTGAAATTAATTTATATTTCTAAATAAAAGTTCTCTGACCAAGTCCAATCTAGAGTTTTAGGCACACATTTTTTAAAGATATTTCTCATGTTTTAATATACTACGGAGTATGATTTTATATGATCACTTTTCAAGTTTGTTGTCTACGAGATTTTTGTGTCCATGTTCCCTGCCTTCTTCCCAACTAAATGGTTACCTTGTTCCTTGCTTCCAAAGAAGTCTTCTTCTATTCTTTCATTAGAGCCTTCAAGGATAGAGAACATGACATCTATGGATTTTCTCTAACTGATAATGTATTTTTTGCTTATCTCCGTGTTGGAATTTATTCAGTTTTATAATGAATTACGGATAGTCAGGCTTAGGTGGATCTCTATTTAGTCTAGAGTGGACCTGAAAGTGTATATATCTCCAGGATGGTGAGGAGGATGACAATGACGATGCTGATGATAGGCCTCGTGCAGCTGAGGTTGGGGGAAGGGTTGAGAAATATATTGGTGTTAAAGTGAAGGTGTCTTTTACAGGACAAGGAGAAACACAGTCGATGAAACAGTTATCTGGAGGTCAAAAAACAGTTGTAGCACTAGCTCTAATATTTGCCATACAGCGATGCGATCCTGCCCCATTCTATCTCTTTGATGAAATTGATGCTGCACTGGATCCTCAATACAGAACTGCAGTCGGAAGTATCCTTTTTTTTTTATTAATTCCCTTTGTCTCTCATTTGTTCATTTGTTGATTTCTCTCAAAGTCCTGAAAATTTGATTTCCAGCAAATGTTTTATGATGTTTTCTAAGTAGCATATCTATGCAAAATTTCAATTAGCTGTATATCGGGCGATGAAGTAGCATCATCTCTCTGAGAGTAGTCATGGTAGTGAAGTAGACTCTTCTGAAGGAACAGCATGCTTTGCCAGTTTATTGATTTTTTTTCTATGTTTAGGATTTGACCTTTAACTTATGGATTCTAGATATGGTTCGTAGGATGGCAGATATGGCAAACACCCAGTTTATAACAACAACATTTAGGCCTGAGCTTGTAAAAGTTGCTGACAAAATATATGGCGTGACGCACAGAAACAGAGTTAGCCGAGTTAATGTGGTCTCTAGAGAAGAAGCTTTAGATTTTATCGAGCACGATCAGTCCCACAATGCCGATTGAGAGCTTAGAAGGTTCCACCCCTCTTATCTTATTCTTTTTTTTTTTCTGCTCATCCTAAAATTGTCCCATCTTTCAAAAGGAAAAGATTGCATGATTTTCATTGTTTCTCTCTTCAAGTGAGTATAATTGTCACAGTTTTTCTGCTTTACATAAATTACCTAGTAAAAAGCTTGCAAAGCAAATGAGAAGATAAAATAAGGATATAAGGAGTATAACTTTCTTGTTCAAGTATCTTGAATGGTCAAGTACTGTATTTGTTCTATTGAACATAAATGGTCATGCAACCTCCTTTCTGTTTGTTTTGTGGGGGGGGGGAGGGGGGAGGATGAGGCGGGTTGATTTAAAAAATCTGATATTGGCCATCTAAGAGTTAATCTATTGTTACCATTGTTCTAATACTGATTTGGTGGGAGGCGGATTGAGGGCTAGTCCTTAGGCGAGAACCGATCTTGGGAATTTGGGATGGTAATGTTAGGTTACAGATTGTTGGAGAAATTTTCCAAAATGGTTAGCTTGGATGGGCAAAGTCGAATTGATAGTTTATATTCAAAATATATATTATTGATTTATTCTTGACCTTTAAAGAAAGTGGGTAATGCAATTAAAACTGAGAATAGATTGCTATTGACTGATATTTTATTGTTCGTAGGCTTTGCCACTGTCCAACTCTACTATCAGTACTATGTGATCAGGCAGGAAGCTGACTACGCATGTTATAGTTGGTACAACAATCACTGGATAATACTCTGTAGATGGCGTTTACATGTAGATGGCGTTATAGTTGGCATGCAGAATTGGTATTTTCGTTTACATGTAGATGGCGTTTTTAGTGAAGTTGGTCTAGATATTTTAAGTTATTTATGTTTGCTACAGTAGAGGAATGTTGATTCTTTTTCACATCAGTTGTGTCTATTCGTCAGTAGTTGGCGTTCAAAGTGAAATGATTTAGGGATATAGTTGTTATCTCCTGTTCACTAAGAAGCCCTTCTGTAGTAGTAGCTCTGTAATTTACCGGTTCCGGTAATATCATTCCCGGTACCGACCCGTGTATGTACCGGTACCGGATCAGGTTGGGCTACCCGGTCGGGCTTCGGGCCGGGATAAATTTAATTTTTTTGTTAACTAATTTACAAGTGCTACAAAAAAAATCGTTGGATATTTATTTAAACATGAAGTACAATTGATAATTGAAAATACATTTGGTAAAAATCAGTCGGAATCTCCGCCAGTGTCGTTTTTTGTTTCTTCCATAAAGTGGCCGTCGGGGACGATGTAAACTTCTTGAAATCTATGTCGTGCCTTCAACAAATCGTGAAAGCAAATTAGCGTCTCAAGAAATTGTGTGCTCAATTTTGTTCTTTAATCAATGAAGACGTTGCTGATTGCGCTAAATTCTAGTTCCACAGCTACTGTTGACACTGACATTGATAGCACTTGCTTTGTCATCTTCGATAAAATTAGGAACATTGCTTCTTTTTTCTTCCACCACTTGAGATTTGAGAACGTCAAAGTCATCCCCTTCTACACACTCAACATGAAACGTTAGCTATAAAGAAAGCTCCTTAATTAGTGGTGGACTGGCCCTAGTCCGGTTCCGGTTCGGGCCTAGGCCCGGTCGGGCTTGGAAGGTATTGGGTAAGGCCCGGGACCGGCCTAGTTTCATTTTGGTGTTTTTTTTTGTTTTCTTATTTATTTCAACCCCTACCCCACCCCCAAACCCCCTAGAATTACCCAGCCCAGCCCATCTAGACCCAGGCACCCAGCCCAAAGCAAAAAAAGAGGCCCAAACCAGGCCCGGACCGGCCGGGCCGGTTCGCGTTTTTGGTGTATCGGAACCGCCCCCGTTACCCCACCCCCAAACCCCCCGGAATTACCCAGCCCAGCCCATCTAAACCTAGCCCAAAGCAAAAAAAGAGGCCCAAACCAGGCCCGGACCGGTCGGGCCGGTTCGCGTTTTTGGTGTATCGGAACCGCCCCCGTTACCCCACCGAGGTCTCAATGAGGGAGTAATACTCATTTCTTTTTCGATTAGACACGTGGATTTCGGGGACAAAATCTCAAATAAGGGGGGTGAATTTGTAACACCGTCCTCAATCATATTTACTTGTGAGTAATTAATGTATTGAACCTTATGGAATGGTTAATGAATTTACGTGGTTGTGAATTTTTGTTAATTCTTTTGCGTGAATAGTGAATTTGCACGTGGGGCCCACACCAGGAGTGAGGACCACCCGATATTCCCGAGACCATATATTTTATTTATCTTGGTCTAGATAATTTTTATATGATGGTGGATATTTCATTTGGGCTATGGAACATAGGAAATGCCCAGAGTTGACCGATTGGTCAATTAAGGCCCAATTACCAGTATTGGTAATTTAACAGATAACAGTCCGAAACGAATTTCGGAGACTTATAAATTAAAGTTGAGGAATGTATATTCATTCTAAATGTCATAATGATTAAGAACACATAATATATTTTAATTGACCCGATAAAATAAAATATATTTTAAACAGTCCAAAAAATACAACTTTCGGGGTCGAATGCACATTTTGGGACACCAAGGGATGACCTCCCACATGAGTGGGGCCACCCCACATTTTTTGTGTGCTTAAGTAGACAACATGGGTACTGGATTGACAAATGAAAGGGGTGATGGAGATGCATTTGACATCAGAATACAAAGGAGGGTCCTTTCCCCTCACTCATTTGTCAAAAGAGACAAAAAGGAGCCATCCCCTCCCTCTCTAATTGATTAGCTCGGCCAACACCATCAAGAAAGAAAAAAGGAGCTCTCAACTCATCCTCCATTGCTGCAAAATTCGAACTCAAACAATAGAGGTCCAAGGAGGAAGATTAAAGAGAGAAAAAGTTAGGAAAAGTGTGAAGAAATAAGTTATGTTTAAAAGTGATATGATGGTTGTATTAACCATGAGGTTTATTGTGATAAATATACTTTTATTTCATGCGAAGAAGTCATGAAAGTATAAAAGTGATATTTTGATATTAAGGCCAAATGACACATGAATGAGAAATTATATTGAAATGAATAAACAACTAGTATTGAAATATTAGTTGGAAATGTTAGTTAAATAATTGAAGAACTAAATCCTAAGAAATTGAATTGTAAAGAATCGGTGATTATGAGTTGGGCTCTACACCGATGTAGATAATCGGTGATTACGAGCTGGGCTCTAGACCGATGTAGGTAATCGGTGATTATGAGCTGGGCTCTAGACCAGGGTTAGCCTCGAAACTGGGCCTCCGTTTAAGAGCCCATCATTACAAACCGTCGGATCAGCCAATGGGTGGCACCCGCCCGCTTTCAGCCAACAGGCACACGCCACGTAGACCCCACCTCCAACGGTCATATCCTAACGGCTACTTTTAGTAACGTTACGATGGTCTCAGCTGCACCCCTCAGACAACAACGCAAACCTCCGGCTAGGCACCTACTATCGCACCCTTCGAACAACAAATGGCTAAGCCTTCAGTTTACCTCACATTATCTTCGGAGTTGCCCTCCAGATATCACGCATCATCTAAAACATGAATCCTCCGGGTTATCACACATTGCTACACCCCTCATCTGGATACGCCCTCGGATTAACACAATGCATAATAACTCCTTCAGCCCGAACTTGCCTTCGACCTTAAGGAGTGGGGGACTAGGATACACCCCTCGGGAAAAGCATCAAAAATAAAAAAAATATGTACAAATGTACCAACGATAACAAAAGCAGCTTTCGCACCAACCGGAGAGACAAGAGATCAATTGAAGGCATCTACCACAACAGGGATGCTTTCGGCAGAACCACCACAGTTACTCTTTTTCCCTCAAGTACCTTTCGGCAAAAGGAGTGGGGGAATCCTAATGGAGTATATGGCCCAGGGACCCCCGACACATAGACTCCTACTTCTCCAACACAGGCCCAATAGGCCCAGGAAGCACATGAGGCCCAAACACAGCGGCCTAAGCTTAAAAAGAACCCACAATACGCATACGGATGCCTTCGGCACCATGATCAAGGGATCCAAACTCCGGAAGACAAATGGGTTGAAACATGCAAAGGTACTGGGAGAAACTGGCACAAAAACCAGTAGCCTTCGGCCCAGGGAGCCTTCGGCGCACACACCAACCCTTCGGCCATAGTCTTCAGGCCGAAGGGTCGCCACTTGACGAAGCTTCCTCCGTTGAAAACAAACAACAACCGCATTCAATGCATCATCACGTCCAACCACCGCATTTAATGCGGTGGACATGCGAATGCCGGTGCCAACACGATTGAAATGACCCTCAGCCGTCGGATGGTTGACACGTGTACGCATATAACATTTATGGCTACTATAAATAGTAGCCCTTTTCGCCTTGTAAAGATCCCATCCTGAGTTCATTTAATATACTGACTCTCTCTCTCTTACTTGTTTGCTTTGACTTCTCTCTAAGATATTTCTTATTATATCCCTCGGATAAGCTACCCCCGGGTACACTATCCATCACTATGATTTCAAAGTGAGATTGCCATAAAAGTGACATTTTTTCAAATTATCAATAAGTATGACATTATCATATTAGAAAGTGACATTTTTCTTAAAATTAGTAGTTAGGCAAGGGTATTATGAGATTGAATATTAATAAACATTATTAGTTTGGATTTTTTTTACCTTGACTTGTCATTTTGAATACCCATTTGAATATTAGTGGGATGCAATGATTATTGGTAAACGCTGAAATATGAATTAAACATTGAATAAATTATACATCAAATCATCATTTACCCTAGTGCAGCAAAGGCTCCCACCTACTGTGGGGTAAGGGGAGGTCGGATGTACGCAGTCTTACCCATAATGAAAATCGCGTCCAAAATTGCATGGACTGGCCGTTGTTTCATAACAAAGAAGAGTAGACAGTTTGGTGAGCCATTTTGCTTTATTCCGTCATATTCTCAAGCCAAAAAATAATGAATCTTTGGCTCCATTGCAAATGATGGAAATATTGAAATAAATTATACATAAATAGATAAATATAAAATAATTATCTTTAATTGTAATCTTACGATCGTGTTAGTTTGCATTAAGAACCTTTAAACAGGAAGGAGGTAATATGTTTAAATGCATCATTGGAGTTTTCTGATACTAATTTATCATTAAATTTTCTGAAATGATTGTGTTTTTAAATTCTTTGTTACATGTGTATCATCAATTTGTCTGTCACAACAATGCTTAGATTTTTTTTTGTTACAAATAAATCACCATATTTTGTAATACTTTGAAATGATTCTGAAATGATTGTGTTTTTAAATTCTTTGAGGTTATTGAAGAAGAAAAGAGGGTAGTTTGGTAATAGGAATTCCTTTTGGGATTAGGACAAATTTATTAATAAAAATTAACTCATGGACAAACACATCCTTACTAAAACTCATCTACCCGCTATAGTGACCTAACACTAGAGTGACCAACACCGTAGTTTCCAATGGCCCAGTGACTACCGCCAAGCAGTTACGGTTAAAATCGTTCAATCACCTAATTTTCAACTGTCTCCACCAAGTGATACTGTTGCACTACCGCAACCGCCGCCTCTACCCCGGCTCGCTGATAGCAGCTCTCGCCATCGGTGACGGTGAGTGACAACCACTACTACCCTTACCCTGCCCCTCAACCCCCATCCCAGCCCCCTCCCCACCCCTCTCCTGTCCCTGCATGTGCTCCTTCCCCCACCTTAAACCCCTGCACTTGCCCCCTCTCCCCTCTCCTTGTCAGTACTACGCAACCCTCCCAACATTGCAGCCACCTTTCAAATGTGCCCAATGACACCACCGCCCACCACCAGTCCCCACAGCAGCCCTGCCGGTACAACCGGCACCCCTGATGAGTGACATGTCCATCTGCCTCAATCCCTCACCACCCCCACTACGGCACTACCTGCCCCAACCCACTCACATGCTCCCGAGCTCCTATATCCCCAATTCCGCATTTCCGCCGACCCGATATTAAAACTATAGTCATCAAGATCCTCACCACAGATCTAGAAACACAGACAAAAAATTGAAGAAGTAGAAGAAGTGCCGCAGGGCAGTGATATGTGGTGAAGGCAGAGTCAACAGCTACGAAGAAACCATGCATTGATGTTGGTGCGAAAGGGGTGAAGTCGTGAAGGTAGAGAGCTGCGATGGGCAATGGTGTGGCAGTGATTGGGCGATGGTGCG